GGCTCTTTGGCCCCTTGAGTGTGGCTCTTCCACAAAATACCACAGCCTGGGCCAGTCTATGTTGAAGAAGTGGCGTAAGAAGTTTAAGTTTAAAAAATGTGACTCTCAAAAGAAATGTCAATCGTTGTACTGTTATTTGGCTCTGTTGACTAATGAGTTTGCTGATCACTGGTTTAGGCTGCTCTCCTTAAAAAAAACAAAAAACAAAAAAACACCTCTCCACAGCTCCCTGCAGAGAAATGGGATCTACAGAAGGGCCTCCAATCCCCTCCACCAGTGTCTGGGCACAGACTGGCTGCCTGTTCTCTCTACCTCCCACCCCCTTTTTGTCATTTTGGGTACCTCTCCTCAGCCCCTGATCTGTTCCCTCCTATCCATGCCATGTACCTACATGGCAGAGGGCATGCACACTCCTCGGGCCTGGGCTCATTCTGCCTTCTGTCACTGAGTCTCTGTTACTGGCTGGGAAGCTCATTCTGGCCCATGCCCTGTCACTGTACCTTTACTCCCCAAGGGTAGCTTTGATCCTTGGAGGAGATGCTCAGAAGCTGTCCATTGGATTTAACTATTTCCTGGGACTGTGATACACGCTCTGAGGAAAGGGGAGTTGGGGCTGTGGGAGAGGGCTGTGTTGCTGGGACAGCAGCAGTGTGAGTATGAGTTTGTCCCCCGTGTCTAAGGGTCTCCAGGATTGGGATTGCTTTCCTTGCAATTTTCTAAGACTGTTCTTTACTGCCTGGGAGCAGCTGGGGCCAGCAGAGTCATCAGATTTGGGTACCCAAGTTCAGACCAGACCCACGTGGGCTAGTGGTTCCTGTTTCTTCCCTTTGGGACACTTTCTGATACTGGCGCCTCTGCTTGTGGGGTTAGCCAGATGCTTCAAGGAGTCCACAACTTGGGCCTAAGAAGTTGGGCTCTGGGTCCAGAAGGACTGCCTTGCATACTAATTGTTCCCACTGGCCAGCGTGATATATATATATATATATATGTGTGTGTGTGTGTGTGTGTGTGTGTATATATATATATTTTTTTAGTGGGACTACATGAGATTGGGCAGCCAGAATAGTGTTGACATGCTGGATTTGATTTATTCTAATAGTTTATATAGACAGGGTCACCACATCCTTAGAGGTGGCCCTGTCTAGGGGGGTTTGCACTCCATTACTTACATGTGACTCAGACAGTTTCTCATTTCCCTCAAAAACGGTTTAAAAGCAAAGAAGAGGAGCAGCTTTATTTGTTCCTCCCAAACCTCCTTTCCCTCTGGGCTCCTGTTACATGCTAAATAAATAATAATAATTATTGTTTTACTATTATTTTTGTCAAAGAGGCCCTGTGTTAGGTTGGGGCTGAAATGGAGTTGGACACACTCTAGACTCCTGTCATCCGAAGTTAATTCTGCCCTCATTTCGGAGCCCTCTTACTCCATCTTGGGTCTGATACTCAAGTGGTCCTGCCACCTTCCCATCTCACAGCCCTGCCTGTGCCAAAGAGAAACAGACCTTCGTCATTTGACCTGGGAGACAGATTGTCAGCTGAATTTTAGGAAGGAATTCTCCCTTGGAGGGAGGGCAGTTTTAGGTGAAGGGAGGGTGGTTTCCTAGCCAGTTAGCCAGGTTGATGATTTTAGGCAACTGGAACCTCTTGGGGGACTAGGGCACATCTGCTATGCCCAGAGCATCCTCTGGAAGGTAAGGGGCCCCTCCTCCTAGGGACTTGCTCTGACTCACTGACTTTACAGGTTCCTCCTGTTCCTGCTTCAAGGTCCATTCTCTGACCCATACTAAAGGGTGTCCTAGTTTGCCAGCAGGGGTGAGGTTTTAATCTGAGTAGTTTTCATCAAGGGGTACTATGGCCTAAGGCCATGGTCGGCAAACTGCGGCTCTCGAGCCACATGCAGCTCTTTGGTTCCTTGCGTGTTCTAACTCCACTTCTTCAAAATAGACTCGTCCAGGCGGAAAACTGACTTCTGTGCATGGGCCACGAAGTTTCATTCGCACTGTGCATGCTCGCCCGCACATGGTATATATTTTGTGGAAGAGCCACACTCAAGGGGCCAAAGAGCCGCATGTGGCTAGTGAGCTGCGGTGTCCTAAGCCGCCACCGCCCTCTCCTACCTGGTGGCAGCTAAAATTCAGGCACAGTGTCAACGTAATCAGCCTAGAGCAGCGGTCGCCAACCATGGTGCGTGAGGTCCGAGAGGTTGGTGAACCTGTCCTGGAGGATCCCAGACCCTGCGCGGACTGGAGATGTACCTTCTCTTTCCTCTCTGCTGAGAAGCTAGCATTGCCTCCATGATGTTTCTTAGAAAACTCTTCCTCATCAGAATCACAATTCAGAGCTATTCCCCGTATTTCCTCTTCATTTTACGCCCACTGCCTCCTAGATGCTCCATACATGTTTGTGATTATTGATGATAAATATTAGAGATGGGGAGAGGAGGGAGCACGGTATTGGAGGAAGAACTGGCTTAGGAGTTAGAAGACCCAGGCTTTTTGTTTTCATCTCTCTGACTCACCAACCCTTTGGGGTCCCGTGGCGTGACTCTGGGTTAGGGGGATGGCCTGACAGGTAGCCTGGTGAGGGGTCAGGTCTAGTTTGCCATAGTCGTCACTGTTCCCTCCTGTCTTACCAGGCTCACCTGGTGCAAGGTCCCCATCTGACACTGTTAGACATTTGAATGTATGATCCTTCTCAATTAGACAGTGTCTTAGATTTATTGTAAGAATCCGTTGGGGGTGGGTGGGTGGGGAAAGAGTCCGTTGATTTGTATTTAAAATTCAAATGATAGTTGTTGCCGAAACCGGTTTGGCTCAGTGGTAGAGCGTCGGTCTGCGGACTGAAAGGTCCCAGGTTCGATTCTGGTCAGGGGCATGTACATTGGTTGTGGGCACATCCCCGGTAGGGGGTGTGCAAGAGGCAGCTGGTCTGTGTTTCTCATTGATGTTTCTAGCTCTCTATCTCTCTCCCTTCCTCTCTGTAAAAAATCAATAAAATATATTAAAAAAAAAAAAGATAGTTGTTGATCATCATCATCACCACTGGGGGATACTAAATGGGGGTCTGTTTTCAGTATGTGGTATAAAGTATGGGGGAAAACAGTATAGATTTGCTTCCTGCTCTAAGCTGCCTGGTAAACAATTCAGCTGGCTTGTGCTAGGGCAGTGGTTTGCGAACTGCAGCTCTCGAGCCACATGCTGCTCGCAAGCCACCATTTGCTGCTCTGTTGACTAATGAGTTTGCCGACCACTGTGCTAGGTAGGGCATTAAGTACTTCTGAAACTCAGAACGAGAGAACACTGAGGGCTGGGGCAATCAGAAAACACTTCCTGGAGGTGGAGAGATGAAAATTCTACTCATTCCTTAAAGATGAGTTCCACTGAGTTGGTTCAAAGTCACATGGGTATGCAACTGGGATTAGATGCTGACGTCATGTCTGCGTGTGTATTGTCTTACCCTCTCAATTAGCATTTATTGAGTAACTATGTGTCATGGGCTCTGGGCTAGAAAGGTTATATATATATATTGTGTTATATTATATTGTTGTTGTTCAATCTTTGTATGAACCCAGTGATGTTATTACTACATCTCTTCAGATGAAGAAACTAGACTCAGAGTAGTTTAAGACACTTCCCCAAGACTTGTCAAATAATAAATAAGTTAGGCATTAGGCCTGTTTTAAAAAAAAACCAAAACAGTTTTTTCCCACTGCACCATGTTTCATCCCTTCAATGTTGGCCTCCTTGGTGAGATGCATGTATGTGCTGAACTCACCACTAACTCTCCCCTAAGCACATGGGTGGGCTTGGCCAACCCCCAGCTTGGCCTTGGCTACCCTACCTGACCAGCTGAGCACATAGGGACTTTTTATTGGTTTGTTAGCAGGTCTGAGCTCTACCCTCACACACACACACACACACACACACACACACACACACACACCCCTTTTCTCTGCCCTTTACATTCTCCTGCCTTTGACCCTCAGACTGAGTATATTAGAGCTCCTTGAGCTATGTGCAAAGCTGGGATTGGGATCAAGGGACAAAGGAGGGCATTGACCTTGGCCTCAGGTTCATCCTAGGTGGGTGCTGCCACTGGTGATGTGGGTGACTTGTAAAGAAGTGAGCACTGCAGGTGGAGCTGGGCTGAGCTGATGATTGCCATTTAGTCACTTTGACCTCGGTCAGGACATTTAGTCCCTCTTTATGCCTCTGATTCCTTCTCGGTAATAAACAGGGGGTTAGCAATGTTTTTAGTGTTCCTTATATCTTTAACACCTTGTAATTTTTATTATAACGTTTATCTTCACCCTTCTTTAAGCCTCTTCTCTCTAGTGATCCAGTTTCCTTTCTCTCATTTCCCTACCCCACCCTTGGGGGTCTTGCAGATAAATTCAACATCAGGCTGATAACCAGGTCTGCAGGCCAAATAGGTACTCCACACTGGTCCTTGGAGAAGGAATTCTTAGAGACCCGTCCACTGGCCAGACTCTGAGTTCTGACTAAGCCAGGCTGTGTTTTATTTGCCTTCTTGTCCCCACTCCCCAGCTTAACAGGAGGAGTGGGCGGGGCACACGGAGCTGGAGGAGTGGCTCTGGAGGGTCTTGGACAGGGCACCCGCTCACAGGCTGTGAGGTGGAGGGACAAGTGTCTCTTCCCTGCAGTTGGCTGTGCCCCGCCTCCTCCTTCCTGCCCCGCCTGTTAAAGTGAGTCACAGGCCAGCGCACACCTGAGTCCTCCCTCCCGCCTGGCCACTGGTTCAGGCTCTGGGCCCTGTGTCTGGTGTGGCCACACGTGTCGATCCTCCCAGGAAACTGGTAGGACCAGGCTGCCCCCACCCTCTGATGGGCAGATCAGCTGCTTTGAAGGCCAAGCTGGATGTGGCCTGGGCTCTGGGCCCCTCAGGAGGAGGTGAGTGGCCTGGCACTCTCCCTGCAGTCTTCCAGCAGCCCCCGTCCCCGGCCAGCGGGCAGGGGACTCATGTCCCTGTGTCTTCCCCAGGTGCAGGCCCCCTTGTGAGCAGCAGACCGGCCTGGTGGCTGGCAGCAGGACACCCGCGTCTGCATGCTGAGGAAGATGGGTGAGGCGGTGGCCAGAGTTGCGAGGAAGGTCAACGAGACGGTGGAGAGTGACTCTGACACCCTGGGTGAGTGAGGGCATGGCTTTCCAACCACAGTGCTCCCTGGAAGTTGTGTGTGAAGTCAGTTTGGAAGTGAAATAGGAAGAGAAGACGAAAGAGGCCACATCTGTGTGTGCCCCTCGTCACGAGGAGCAGTTTCTTGGAACGTTAATAGCCGTTGCGTTTAGTGTGTGCGTATACTGGGTTCCTGCGTACGCCTTGCTTTGGGTCATAGAGAGATTTGAAAAATACTGAATGAGGGGTTCCACTCGCCGGGAGCCTGCCTGCCTGCTCGGGGACTGCGGATGACTGAGTGTGTGTATGCCCTTGGACCAGGCGGCAGTAGCTGGCACTGCCGAGTCGGCCCATGTCCCAGGCCTGTGCTGGTGCGTGAGGGTTGCCTTACTGACTTCACAGCCTCCCCGTGATGGATGATCCCTGCTAGGTGTGACTAGCGGTGGTCTTTGGGTGAGGAGGAGACGAAGAGTCAAAGGCATAAGGGGCTTTCTTAGGTCACCCAGCTAGGAGGTCCCCCGTTCACTCCACTGTTTTACTTGAACTGTGTCATATATTTTTTGCTTTGAACTGGTCACAGCATAAATATCTGCTGAATTGACTCCCTTGCCATGTGCCAGGATGGGCAGGGGAGATAGATGTAGTACAGTTGTGTGTGTGTGTGTGTGTGTGCGCACGCGTCTGTCTATCTCACAAAGGAGCGTTTCCATGGAGGCTATCGCCTGGGCAAAGAACCAAAGACTGGAAAGGTAGAGCATTTATTCAAGTAGCTGTTGGTCAGAGTGTATCTGGAATGTATGCTTCTGGGGCAGGGGTGGTAGCCCAAGAAGGGGAGGGAAACTCAGCCTTCAAGATGAGTTGGCTGCCGACCGGTTTGGCTCACTGGATAGAGCGTTGGTCTGCGGACTGAAAGGTCCCAGGTTCGATTCCAGTCAAGGGCATGTATATTGGTTGTGGGCACATCCCTGATAGGGGGTGTGCAGGAGGCAGCTGGTCAATGTTTCTCTCTCATCAATGTTTCTAGCTCTCTATCCCTCTCCCTTCCTCTCTGTAAAAAAATCAATAAAATATATATTTTTTTAAAAAAAGGTGAGGTTGGCTGCCACCTCTTCCAGGAAGCCCTCAATCCTATCCTGTCCACCCCTTGCTCCCTTCCTCCTCTGTAACACCATTCAGTGTCCCCAGAGGGTAGTGATCCTGTGGTCTCCCCGCCAAGAGCCAGCACAGTGTCAGACCCTTGGTCAGCACATGGGCCTGTTTGCTGAATTGAACTAAGGTAAAAGGAGCATCTCCTCTATCAGCAAACAAATGTGAGGACTGTCCCTGATTTTGGGCGGGGGAGCCTTTTGCTGGTGAGTAAAGAAATTCTGGAACCCAGCGCTGGTCACTAATATGGTTGTACTCACTCCGGTGCTCAAGGTTCTTCATCACTGACGTGGTGGTTGAGAGCCAGGGTTTGGGTCACTCAGGCCTGGATTTGAATCCACCCTCTGCCACGTAGCAGCCTGCCACCTCAGCAGTTACTTAACCTCCCTGAGCCTTGGTGTTTTCGTCTGTAGAATGGGGTGTAGTTGTGTCTTCCTCATCAAGGTGACTAGGAGTTACTGTAATGTCTGTAAGGCGCTTGGCATGTAGGTAGCTTGATAAGTGGCAGCTATTATTTTTCATCCCTAAGAGCTGGAGATAGAGGCCTAAGTCACCCCACCCCCACCCCCCACTGTCCAACAGACCTCCTGGAGGTGTCAGCCAGGCAGGTCTTGTCTGAGAGTCTGCATTGATTGCCTCTCAGTGCAAATCAACAAATCTCTGCAGTGAATGACCTGCCCCTACTTTAAAATGTCATTGGGGGGTGGGGGGTGGGGGGCGGGGAACACATGTAGCTCAGCCTCCTCCAGATGTGTGAAGGGGGTAAGGTGGAAGTGGAGGAGAGGGGGAGAGCAGAATTCTGACCTCCTGGGGAGGTGCTGTTTGAGAGGATTTCTTTCTGCAGCAGCAGCCAGGAGGCAGGTGCCCTAGGCAGAGGCAGGGCTGCACCATAGCTGGGCAGAGGCCACTGCACAGCTGTCTGTGGCATGAGGGACGGCACCCCGCAGGTGGAGAGCCCGGAAGGCCATGTGGGGTCTAGGAGTCTAGATTTTAGTGTCTCTGGAGCAGAGATTGCAAACTCGGGTGCCTCTGCAGGCCACGTGGGGATTTCTGTGAACTGAAGGTTGGGCGTCTGTGTGGGGGAAAGTGTGCGGGTGACCAGGGTAGGGAGGGCTGTGACCAGCTCTTCTTCACTGCCCAGGGCCATGCCCACTGAGGAGCCCAAGCGAGGCCTCTGCCTGCCCTGCCAGACCACTGCAGTATCTGGGATTGGAACCCTGCCTGTCTGGCACCAGAGCAGCGCCCTGTCCCCACCATGCTGCTCTGCGGTTGGGGCAGATGGGTGGGGATTACCAGGGTCATGAGCACAGGGACGCTACAGGCAACTTGGGGAAGGAATTAAACCCTAAGCCATAGCGGTTGGCTGGAGGTTGTGGCTGGAGCTTGAGACTTCCGTGTGTGGTGGAGGTGATGGGGTCTTAAACGGTAGGGCTGGATGACAGGGGCCTTTTACCTCTTTGGTGCCAAGAGAAGAAGCAAAATATCAGACAAGGCCACAGTGGGCTTCTGCAAGTCCTGACCCTTTGGCAAGTGAAACTCGTCAGCCCATACAGTCCGGGGACTCTGGGGCTTAAGTAGTAATCACCACCTACTGAGTACTTGCTGTGTGCAGGGTGCTGAGGGCTCTGCAGGGTCATTTGCAATAGAGCCCTGGGCCTGAGATAGACCGCCTCGGAGACAGTCAGAGAGCAGCAGGTGACACATGGCTTCATGCCTACCTACGTTGGACAGACCACAGCTGGCCCTCATTCGGGGTGGAAGATGCTGGGGGTGACGTCCCGCAGGATATAGTTCTCATGTAAAATACCAAACAGTGTGAAACCGCCTAAACAACCAGCACCGCCACATTGCTTAAATAAATTTGGTTACAGTTGTGCCATGCAATGTATGTTGCCGTTCACAGTGCGTAACATTTCGTCATAGGCTGCTTGAATAAAGACTGGCAAATTCTCGTGTATAATGTGAATTGGAAAAAGAAAAAGAAAACAAGGCCGAAACCGGTTTGGCTCAGTGGATAGAGCGTAGGCCTGGGGACTGAGGGATCCCAGGTTCGATTCCGGTCAAGGGCACATCCCCAGTGGGGAGTGTGCAAGAGGCAGCTGATCGATGGTTCTCTTTCATTGATGTTTCTAACTCTCTATCCCTCTCTCTTCCTCTCTATAAAAAAAATCAATAAAATATATATTTTTTTAAAAGAATGAAAAAGAAAACAAGGATCTCAAACTCTATGTTAAACGTGTGTATGTACATAGAAAAAAAAGTGGAAGGGTGTAAAACAAGCTGCAAATGTACGTTAGGAAAAGCTCTGCATTTTTGTGAATGTTCTGTGATGAGCATATTACCCTTGTCAGCAGAGAAGAGCAGGTTTTCAGGAAAGGACCACCTGCCACTACAGAATGTGGAGGGAAGTAAAACACTTCCTTCCTAACAGAGGAGAGTGACTCCAGGGGTGGGACGGGCCCCCTTCCACCCCTCCCTGCTCAGGCCTGTGGGACAGAGCAGCCTCAGGGGTGTCTCTCTGTAGAGACTGGGCTGGGAAGGGCTCAGTTACAGGCCGGCTCTCACCTTACTCACTGGTTTGTGGTTCGCAGCACTCGTGGGTATGCCTTCCCAGCCAGGCCTGCTCCTCCTGTAACCTGAGCTTTGGATCCCAGCCCTCGTCGCTGCTTCAGGCCTCCTGATCCCCTGAGAAGTGGGCTTCTTTCCACCTGGCCCCGGGTCTGCCCCTCAGCTCGAATTGAACTGCTTTCGTCCAGCCCCTCCCCTCCTCCTGCCAGCCTCATGGTGTAGACTCTTCCAACCAGCTGGCAGAGAGTCGAGGCCTCTGCACCTCTCCTGAGCCTGGCTCTCCTCTCTGACCACCCCTTGTCTCCCAGAGTCACAGAGACACCTTTCTCTTAGTCAAGGTCTCACGCCTGTCTGGGCTTCCCTGGATCCTCGTACCCCCGAGGGGTCTGACAGGCCTTATCCTTCCCTTCCTGGCCAGTGGACTGGCAGGCCAGGCTGTTCTGCACCTGACTCTTGTGCAGGGGAGAGGCTGCCAGGTCTGCTGTGTGCTTTGGGGATGACTTAAAAAGTGATCATCCGCCGAAACCGGTTTGGCTCAGTGGATAGAGCGTTGGCCTGCGGACTGAAAGGTCTCAGGTTCGATTCTGGTCAAGGGCATGTACTGTGGTTGCAGGCACATCCACAGTAGGAAGTGTGCAGGAGGCAGCTGGTCGCCGTTTCTCTCTCATCGATGTTTCTAGCTCTCTGTCCCTCTACCTTCCTCTCTGTAAAAAATCAATAAAATATATATTTATAAATAAATAAATAAATAAAATTAAAAATTATCATTCCTGCAGAGTGTGATTTGGAAAAGCCTGGGAGGTGCAGGCAGAGCAGCACAGCTGGCTGGAGAAGAGGCAGCTACAGAGATGGGAGTGAGGAAGGACCACTTGGGGGCTGGGGAGGAAAGGAGCCAGCACTTCTCTGGGGCCTGCTGTATGTCGGGTGTTGGGATGAGCTCAGATGTTTGATTTGTCGGTCCATCTTTTCTACAGTCTTCTGCAGGCCCTGGCCGGGTAGCTCAGTTGGTTAGTGTGTTGTCCCAATACACCAAGGTTGGGGCGGGGGTCCCCCCTCAGGGTACATTCAGGAAGCAAACAATGAGTACATAAATAAGTGGAATAACAAATCAATCAATCTCTCCCTTCCTCTATCTCTAAAATCAATAAATTATAATCTTTTGTACTTTCTGACTCTGAGGATTCATGTCTGTGTTTACTTCTAAAAAATGCTGAGCCATTAGCTCTTGGCATGTTGCTCTCCCATCCCTTGAGCCTCTTTTGCTTAGTATTCCTCTTGGGCTTTCCCATTCGGTGCCT